ACTTGTTTTGGGCTTGGCCAGGTAACTCTTCACCCCCCCTGCTTTTACTTATAAACTAAAACTGCACCCCCCCCCCCCCTTTAGATAATCAAATTATTTTCTATTTTCCTTATGTTTTTCCTATATTCTCTTTTATTTTATTTATTTATTGTTATAATAATTATTGATATAGTATTTTTATATTATTTATTTAATACTTCATTTTATTTTATATTATTATTATTATTTATCATCACATATAAATTATTTTATTTAAGACTCATGAACATATTTTTTATATTGCATTAAGTTTTTAATCATGCATTAATCAAGACGTTTTGCAATTAATACAGAAAAAAACACAAACAAATATCAAACTATTTTCGCGAACAAATTAAGCTAATCAACAGTCCTTTTTGCAATTGGGTTTCAAACTAATTTTTAACTTACTGCATTCTCAGTCAAAATCTCTGCAATCACTACTCCCGACCGAGTGCGAAGTGATTCAAAATATGTTTACAAACCCTCTAAAAGACACCAACCCATACGAACTACGAATTGGGACTCTGATTCCTCTTAAGAGGATATGTAGGCACGCGATCTAAAATCGTGGTGAGTCTTGCTAATTAAAACTCAAAACCCTGTTTATCCCAAACCTAAACCTAGAGCTTAATATCCTTGTGAACAAGGTGAGTGATAGGTGCCTAACACCTTCCTTTCGTCTAATTGAGTCTGTAACCTAGAATCTATGTCCGTGCATTAGGGTTTTCTGTAGGTTCCCTTCCTTAGGATAAAAACTAATAGTGGCGACTCTTGATTTAAAAACAGGTCGCTACAGTTGGCGACTCTGCTGGGGACTCTCCTTAAACCCTAGGTTTTAGGTCTCTTTTGGGTTTTCATTTTTGTTTATTTATTTGCATTAATTTATTTATTGCATTTTATATTTTATTTGTTATATTTTTTTATCTATTATTATATATTTGCTATGTGGCGGGTTTTTATCTCAAAAAATATATTTCCAATAAACCTTAAAAAGAAGGTTCGTCTATTAGCTTATGGGGTATATCATCCTTGCGAGTTTATGTGACGACTTCGCCTAGAGTTGTTCAACTTCTAAAAAGGAATACTTATCGAGAGATATCCTCTTGACGAGTAGGACTTTGGAAGGTCACCCATGACTCTTTGTAACGACCTTAACCCAAAATCTTATGACGAGACCTTTCACGACTTTGAGACGAAAGTTTCAGTCCGTAAAGAGGCTCCACCTAAGGGGGGCCCTTGTGCCTTGTCCCTCTGGTGTTATTCATGACACCCTTAAGGAAGCCACCTTTTGGGAGGGTAGACTTACCGTAGGTCAAAATTAAGGGGCCTACCACATAGGGGTATCCATCACAAAAACATGTCACAAAATCCTGTTACTCAGTCCTAAACTTATACATTCATGCATTCATGTATATCTCATGTTCATCATTTGTTCCTTTTATCTGTCTTATTCACAGGGTACAAAATAAGAGATA